TTTTTTTTCAGTGACCACCCTATATAATTTATTTTAGTAACTTCTCTTGGCGTGATAAACTGTATAGCAATCACCTACGTGTAATGGTAAACAACAGGTTTCGCAAATGTATCTGGTTCCGCTGCGATGAACTACCAATTTCTAGATCACTACAATATATTTCAAAATCACTCGGACAATCGGATAAAGCGTCTGCATATAATTCATTGAAAAGTCACTTTGATTGAAACTTTTGTAACATTGAAATTGTGATAAAAATCTAAGTATCGATAAAAGTACAGTTTTTTTTTTTTTTTTTTATAATAAAGCGAACACGAGGAAGAAAGATTTCGCAATTTATCCCGAATGAAAAATTAATGCAAGTGCGTACACGAGTTAACTCGTGACTGACTGGTTAACATGTGTTAAAACGATTCTCGCTGAATCGTTGTTGTTGCTCGTGTTTCTCCCGAGCGTCTATTTCTTCTTTCCACGGTCCCTTTCTTAATGCATGCTTGTACATGTGTATTGACTTTGATATCGATGGGAATTTATGGTTCTTTGAAAATCGATGTCTGATCGAAGCTTAGAGCTCTTATTCTGGAGAGGAAATGAGATTTAACTGACGCGGTGTATTTCTTGTGATTGTCACAAAACGTGTTTTCCTTCTCTTCTTTCAATAAAAACAGATTTAAGGCTAAGTATTTTACACTTACGCGTGTAAATTGTTTGCGGATAAAGCCACACGTCGTCGAATAAAGATTGCAACAATTTCTTGCATACAGCCCACTACTCATCAAATAATTCAACGAGCAACCACGTTATTTAGTTTCATTATTCGTGAAATAACATATTTTGGCATGGGACATTTTATTCTATCCTGCCATCCAACGTGACACGGCAAGCTGTACGAGTTTAATAAATTCAAGGAAGCGAAACACTCTGATGTCTGAATGGGCCAATTATCTGAGTCACTGAATCAGCAATATGCTAATCACACGTGACAAGATTGTTCCATATAAGATAGCCCGTATTATAATGTACATCGATATCGCGCAAATATATCAATGGGGCATTGTCACGCGGTTTTGTTTTGTCACTATTATGTATGATAAATATTATGTACAAAGTAAAAAGAAAAAAACTGCGTTAGAAATTGTCGAAGCTTGTCTTAAATCTAGAAGTGTATAATAATCTGAAAATCACAGCGCGTTTATCAAATGAATCGTGCCTCTTAATTAAGTTTTATTAAGAATTCAATTGTTTGGACTGGCAACAGGCTTAACGCGTTTCATTACATCACAACGTTCATAAATACCAGTTTGCGTTCTATTCTAACTTTAACTACCAATAATTCAGGCGGCTATTGCTTGTCATTATTGAGCCTCGCATGTCGAGATCAGTTTTATCGATTACCAACGGCGTTGCAAGACGCCGTGTATCGTGGAAATAAAATATGGATACAGAAGCACTCTTACGAAACGGAACTATTTAACCCTTAATTACTCGCAGAGATATTCGTATCTCTGCCATTAACTGCAGGCGTGCAGTGTCCGACATTACTATTACATTGGCAATAGTTTTCGCAACAGAGTGATTCAATGAATGTGCTGCATTTGCAGGAAATTTATTCATTGAACCATGGTGTTTGACAACTCGTCAAACTTTCAAATATTGTGAACTTGAATGAGATTCGTTTAGAGTTGCCAAGATTTAAATTTCATATAAAAAAAAAAAAAAAGAACAAGTGATCTATGTAGAATTGAATCGCGTTGTTTTCAGGCCGAGGCGAGAATCTCTCATAAATAATCTCTCATAGGCCACGAGAGTAATAATCGCACGATGATCTTCGGACTACGTGTTGATTCGATACGTGGTAACCCGCCACGTAAAATATTATGAGCTGTAGAAGCTGATTCGCCGCGTTTGCAATAAAGCTGTACCCTTCTACGTGATAAATGGACACTTAATCCGGACGTCTCGCGAAGATATAGCCTACTAACATCGCAAACTTCCCATCTACGCTGCTACCGAATATCCTTATCCTACATTAACTTTGTTTTCACTCTATCGAGGCTGCTTTTGTTCTCAACAATCCCGTTTTTATTCTCTAATCATCGTTCCTCCTTGTTTCCTAGATTTCAATTATAAATCTCGAACGAGGCATTTTTTTCGCGTGTTGAACACGCACGCTGACTCGCTGAAACAAATATCGTTGTTCCCTCTCTTCTTTTTTTTTTTTACAATTTGCGTGCGGTTGTTAACGAAGCCTGACAAATTACAGTCTAATGAGCTCGCGCAACGAGTGCACACTCACTTGAACATTCGCAATGGCGTCTCTCTCTCTCTCTCTCATGTGGCGAGCGACTCTGCAGAAATTGAAAGCAAATTGAGCCGTGTAATAAAGCAATTCTGGCCGGTACTCTGAAGATCACGATAAAAGAGCAATTGTGGAATTCAGCTGCAGCTTGCAGTTAACTGTCCTCGTTTGTGTACCCGCGGTGCGCCGCCGTATCATTTCACGTCTTCCGACCAGATTATACGTCTAGCGATTTTACTCGAAGGACCGTTTTAGAGATATTCCAGCGTTGGAAAAGGAAGAAAAAAGGGAGAAGAATTTGTAGAAATAATCGAGAACAATTTACTACAATTTACATGCTTGTACTTCGTGCCTTGGACGAACAGAGTTATTTTTGCGATCGCTACCGCTACTTATGGCAATTGGTATGCAACCGGTGGATCGACTCCTTAGCGGGGATTCATTCGCGATGGTTCACGATTTTCTGAACCGTTAGAAAAATTTTCGCTCCTGGTCGATTGATTATGAATCGCGCGTTGCGGATCGTCTGGCAAAAGACGACGAGAAAGCAGGCTACTGTATTTAGCGCTCCCGCGAGGCCACGAAACCGTAATGCCACGGGCATGAATTTTCCCCAGACCTATTTCATAAGCCGCTATTCTCTTCCCTCATTGGGTCGGAACTTTGCTCCTTTCACGAATTGGCAAACGTTCAGTCGTTGTCAATCGGTATATCGGCGAGGGACGATGAACGATATTTCAATCGAGACAGGTTACGAAAAATGATTCGAAAAAATTATGTTAGCAGAGAGATTTCGTCTTGGCAAAATTCTCACGAAGTCGTGTGATCGACGAAGCTCGATCAGAGGGAATTAAACGAGGAGGTGACACAGTCGAGTTTTCCGCGATTAACTGTTATCTGTTCCATTCGCCGTCCTTCTGATCGTCAAATCAATCAGATCCCCAGATGATGCTTCCAGCTGATAAAGCCTGTGATAAGTGCATCCGAGTTATCGTGGAATATTTCGAAATTCTCACGACCTACAGGAACAGCCTTGGCGATAAAATCCGCATC